TGTTATGTGGCACTGATAGATTACGTATTGCTCACTCGGCATATCTGGGTTTACTTAATGCAGGGCTTCAGTATAAATCTGCAATTGTGTTTTTGAAGGGAAAATAATTTACTGAATTTAAATTAAATAGGGATAAAGAAAATCATAGAATAATAGTGCAAACATGACAAATTTGAGCTTTAGTTTTAGAAAATTAAAACAATCTTATAATAAAAGTTTGAAATTAATAGATAAAATGCAGTATTTAAAAAAGAGGATATGTTAAAATTTAAAATTCAGGAATTATATTTGGTTTTCAAACATTTTAGTCTATCTTCTTTTACTATATGATATATTTTGATGGCTGCAGTAAATATGAGACATGCAATGTTATAACAGAAAATGTTATGAATAATTTTAAAGATAAAATATATTTTTGAGTTAGATTTCAATTATTTTTTGAGGGTGACAGTAAACCGTATTTTGCAAATAGAATATGAGAGATTTTATAAATTAATTTCAGATCATATTTTTGAAATGAACTTCATAAACAATAGGAAAGAAGACATTTCTTTAAAATTTTCCAAAAATATTAAAGAAATAAGAATGATGATCACAATCATCTATATATTGCTAGTCTCCCGCAAAGTATATGATACAATGTAGATTTAAGTAGTATTTTGTATTTCTCCTGGCATGGCGAATGAAGGCAACATTACAATGATTTGTTCCTTGCAAATTCGAAACTGGTGTTCCCTCTATTCACGAACTGCCTATATACTAAAGCAATGTATATTTAATGATGATGTACCAATAATTGTGACAAGTTTATAATAAATTTAATAATAATGTCTTAAATATGCCGCATTGACGTTTAAATTGACTGGAATATACATTTTAAAAATGTAAATTTAAACAAAAAATTAACTATATATAATATTCGAATGACTAAAATTAAAGTATAAACATATTGAAAAATTAAAAAAAAAAAATTAAAATATTGTAAAAGCTTATAAGCTTACATTTCAATTTTGCATGGCAATATATTGTTTCTGTAATAGTTTTTAAAAATACCAAAATGTAATTATATAAGTCTTAAGAAACCCACAATTCAAAAGTTATCTATAAATCAATGAGAGATTCGCAATCGTACAAATGCGCGTAAAAAGAACAGAATGACAAAATGAAATATCCTTATCACACAAAAAGAATCCTTCTTAATCTATTGCTGTAATTTTTCACACTCACACACATCCATACATCTCTAGAAAAGAAAATACTAGCTAATAAAAATACATAGACACAAACATTTACACTCTTATACACCCACACACATACATATCACATACACACACACACCTGCTACTATCTTTTCCTTCTATCCTAAATCTTACGCAAAATTTTATTCTTTAGGTGGACCTAATATTTAACGAAGAAGGCTCGTGCCCGTTGTGTAATAAGACGTTTTCAAGGAAGTCTTCGTTGATAACACACATACGCAATCATGCGGCCGAAAGGAAATTTGTTTGTAATTATTGTAATAAAGGTAAATCGTGAACCATGTAAAAGAATTAAAAAAAAAAACATTAAATCAATTCAAATACTAAATAAAATCCTCATGTTTTCTTAACAATTCCTATTTGGAAATTCTTACCAACCATATTGGTATGTAATTGGTTGAATTGCAAATTTAGGTTTTACACAAGCGGCCAATTTACGGAACCATGAACGCATTCATACCAATGATCGGCCCTATGTGTGTGTGGATTGTGGCAAAACATTTACACAGGTGAGTCAAGTTGTAGAATTGTATATTGTTCAAAATTCTATTATAATTTATTTTTCTTTTTTATTTTCCACAGATTACCAACCTCAACAATCACCGGCGCTTGCACACGGGCGAAAGACCTTTTGTATGCATTGAACCGGAGTGTGGACGCTCCTTTGCCCAGGTCACTAATCTCAACAATCACATGAAAACCCACCACAAAGTCCAGCAATATTGTTGCAATCAATGTCCGAAGAAATTCACCCAGGTCACCTCTCTAAATCAACATTTGCAAGCGCATGCGGGCATCACCGGCTACTATTGTCCCCGTTGTCCGGAGAAAACCTTCAAACAGCAATCACAACTGCACACGCACATGAAAACACATGGCCTGCAATATCCATTCGAGTGTACGAAATGCGATGAGAAATTCTTGCAACAGACCCATTTGGAGACCCACCTGAAGATGCACGAAGAATTCAAATATAAATGCAATATATGTCCGAGTTCGTTTAATCAGGAATCACTGCTGAAGAAGCATGAACAACGTCATTTAGAGGGCAGGTGCTGGCTAAAGAACCAAAAATGCTTTTAGAGTTAGATGAAAAAAAAAAATGAATTTAGAATGTGACGATTTTCGATTTATCGTTCGAATCGAAATGAAAACTTCACACAGAGAAATTATTTGATTTTGCTGGAGGCTGGCAAAGAAAGGCTTTAATGATGTCCCCATCCATATGGATAATGAGGGTATAAACATTTTGCTACGGCAAAACTGCGCCTTATCCAAATATTGGTATTTTAGGCCCCATGTTTCTTTGGGCCAAATCCGTTTCAGACAATTTGGAGTCGATTTACAAATGTCCGTCTGTCAGTCTGTCTGACTGGCTAGTGCTCACGATATCTCTCGAAGGCAGTAACCGATTTCATCCAAACATTACACATGTTAATCTTTTCCAAATTTAGTTTATGTGGGAAGATGGGGAAGATCGGTCCACTCCTTCTGGTACCTTCCCCACCAAGTGGTCAACATTTTGTCAAAATTTAATTTTATAGTTTCATGCAATCCGTTTTAAACTAAACATTGCACAACCTATTATCTACACCAAGACTAGTTCAAGTCCGAAGATGGGACTCATTGGCCCACTCCTTGTGGTACCTTTCTTTTCAAAGGGTCAAAATTTTCAATATTTATAAATGCAATATTATGGCTAATGGAAGGTCCGATTTGATCCAAGCTGTGCAAATCGTAAGATTTCTTTCAAACTCAACTTAAGTTTGAAGATGGGGAAAATCGGTCCACTCCTTCTGGTACCTCCCCAACAAAATGGTCACAATTTTGCAAAAGCATTTCATAATATCATTACAACCAGATCATCAAATTCAAACCAAACTTTGCATAACCTAATATTTTAATCATTCCTGTATATTGTTGGGAGATACGACTTATCTGACCACTCCTTCTAGTCTTGATCAAGTCCGAATATGGGACCCATTGGTCCATTACATCTGGTACCTCTCTCACAAATGGTAAAAATTGTCAATATGTAAAAAATATCTGGCGAGCGGATTATCAGATTTGAATCAAACTTTGTACAACCTATTATCCATACAATGCCTAGATCTAGTCCGAAGATGGGACCCATTGGTTCACTTCTTTTGGTACCTCCTCCACAAATGGTCAAAATTGTCAGTATTTATAAATCCAATATCTGGTGAACGGACTATCAGATTTGAGACAAAATTTGTACAACCTATTATATGCATGAAGTCTTGATCATGTCCAAATATGGGACCTATTGGTCCACTCCTTCTGGTACCTCCCCCACAAAGGGTCAAAATTGTCAATATTTATAAATCCAATATCTAGCGAACGGACTATCAGATTTGGACCAAACATTGTGTAACCTATTATATTTACCAAGTCTAGATAAACACCGAATATGAGACCCATTGGGCCATTCCTTCTGGTACCTCCCCCACAAATGGTTAAATTGTATGTAGACATAATCTCTTATCCCCAGCAAAATCAAATTAATTTCATTTTCGAATTCTAAATTATGCAATATACCACCATATGGTGTTTATGTATACAATTTCCATAATATATCGTAAGTTTTATAAAAAAAGAAATCAAAAGTAACACATTTTCTTTCTTTCCTCTCCTCCCAAATAGGTACCTCACTTGCCCTGTGGCCAGTTGTAATGAGGCCTTTGCTGTTCGCCAACATCTCTCGAAACATTTGTTAAATAGTCATTCACATACAGAATTACCGCCTCCAAAACGATCCAAGAAATGCATAACACTACAACCGCCTCAGCAACCCTTGGCCATGGTGGGCCAACCATTGTCGCTGCAACACGCTCCCCAACGTATGTTTATAAAAGACGAAGATGATGATTCTTAAGAAAAAAAAAAAACAAACACAGAAAAACAAACTAAAATAAAAATAGAAAACACCTCTATCCTTTAAGAAAACAAGAAAATAATAATTCAATTTCCTCACCCAACCCCAGGGATAAAATTCCCAATTTGTAAACATGATATGCCCCCACCCCCAATTTACCTATTTTTTTAATTTCTTGAATTTACAAAAATTTGATTTCTTTTCTATATTAACAACAACACGAAATTTATCCATAACATCATCATACTCTAAAATTCAACAAATTCTAACATTAAGATAGAGATTTTTGAAAGTCTTATTATTTAATTTCATTGTTTGTAATTTTTTTTAGCCAATGGAAAATTGTAATCCATCCAACATCATTTTCATCATCTATCATACCTAAACTCCTTTGGTTTAGTTCTGTCCTTGTTTATTGTATTTTTTTCTTATGCAATTTTATTTCATTTTTAATTTTTTACACAAATTATTTAGTGTAATTGGCGAAACAAAAATGGATAGAGAGATGATTTTAATGACCAAGCGCGAATTTTAATAACAAATTTAAAATTATAAATATTAAGTGTATAAATAATATAATTTATACAAACTAAAAAATGTGTATAAAATTTATAGAATAAATTTTGAAATTTTTCTAATTACATTTAAAAAAATATGTATTGATATATATATATGCTGCGTGTTATATACAAAATAAGGGGAATGTGGAAATTACTTCTTATATTATTAAACATTTCAAGAAACTCTCTCAATTTGTGTAGTCGTGTTTTCATAGAAAATCGTTCTCTTCCGTATTTTTACAATGCCAGGAACTAGGATATTTAAAATATTGGCAAGTCCACAGATATTTAATTTTAACAGACATGTAAAAATCGTATTAATTCGCTTTTGGAGTAAAAACAATTAGAAATTCAAACATTAGCAAAATGTTTGGGTGTTCCATTTTGAACAACTGTAAAATCGACTTGAGAAAGATATTTTATGGACCGAAGAGTTTCAAATTGATTTGAGATATAATGTAACTTTGAAGCGATATGTGGATGTGCTCCAGTACTAAAAACTGGCACAATCGATAAAGGAATAAAAAAGGTATGTCATTCAATTAGTAGCTCTCTTGCAGGACTTCAACATTTACTTGTTTCAATAGCGAAGACTTCCGTATATTGTCAAACATTTTCATTCCTAAGGAATGATATATAGAAAATCTCTAGCAATTTTTTTCAAAAACCTCGGTCAATTTAATACCCACAAAAGAAATTTAGCCTTAAAATTCATCTCTTACGTTTTGGGACGAAATTAGAATAAGCTCATTGATTGCCACTTACACCTTGGATTTATCATGAAATTCAGAAGCTTTTTCTCTTCGGTATTTAATGTCAAATTGCCTTTTCTATAGAAAATCTTTATTTGCCAAACTCAAACTGTTGTAGAAGCCTCGGAATATTAAATACCCACAAAATTACTTTGATGTATATCTTTGCATGAGACAGTTAAAGGTGTTCTAAAATCCATATGCCAATATTTGGGTTGACATCGTCAACCATCTTCAGGGATAAAATAAAACATCTTTCCCTGACCTTAAGCCGAAATAAATCAACCAAAAATCCGCATACAACAGATCAACAATAAATAACAACAACGTTTTCTATTTATTCAAAACATCTTCTCTTGTAAATGTTTGAAATACCATAATGAAAAATATGACTCTTCTAGTTTTAGAAATCCCCCAAAAGGTATTCTAGATATTCAAACTATCTGCTAGCTTTTAGAAGTCATTCTAAATGTGCTGTAATTCTAGAAGTTTCCATAGTCAGGGTGTCCTTTGGAGTTTATTTAGCCCACATAACGCCAGAGTTTTCCATTTCAATTTTTAATATTTCATTTGAAATCCTAAACATTTTATTATTAGTTTAGATTTTTTTTTTAATAAAATTAAGATTTACTTTGAAACTAAGGGTCTATAGAGGATTACACAACTACTAAATACGAGACTACAATAATTTGTGGAAATAACGGTAATTTTTCAATTGTGATGTTGACATTTTTGAGTTTTCTTTAAAAATACGGTACCACTAAATTATTCTTCCATTTGGAACTTCTACTTCGACCTTTGAAATACCTTCTACATAACACTCGAAGTTCTTCTATAGGTGAAATATCGTATGTAGGATAATAACGAAGCAAATAATTAAAAAGAATATATATCCGACGTTCAAAAGTAAATGACATAATTGTGACTCAATTATAAAACTCCCCAGAAAACCCCCTCTGTAATTTGGAAATAAATTCAATTAAACTAAAAAAAATCTTAAATTAGTTTTCGAACTTTTGTAATACCTCTAAAAATTGATATTTGGTTATAGGTTATTTAGTATGAAATTCCATTCTATCCCATCTCTAATATATCCAGAAAACCTAAAAGTAAGTCGTAAGTCAATATATTCATAGGATTGCTTTTCGTAAAGATTTTGACCTTATTAAAGACAATATGAAGTCAATTAATAATTTTTTGAGATGTGCTCTCGCCGTTCTCAAGGTGGATAAAATATTTTTTTTGTATTTAAAATTTTAACTTCAGTCGTTACATCCTAAATTTACTGAACACTTTTTATGTTTTTAAATATCTCTCTTTTAAACTATATATATTTGAGAAAACTAAAATTCAACGTCTTCAAATAATAAAAATTTATATTCGAAATTCGGAGTTAGTGACTGAGGAGACTAAGGCAACAAATTGGTTGAACTGCTGATAATATTACTGCCGTTCAGGCTATCCAAATCTGTCAATTCCACGGCGTTCCCAAGAATACCACGGACCACTTGTTAGAGTATTTTGCGTATGGTTCTAAACCGATCCATAGCCATAGCATAGGTTGAAGTGGAATCGTTTTGAAGCATAAATTTTAGTAACGTTATTTTAGGATGCATTTTTTTTTCTATATTTTCGATGGGACATGAAGACTGGAAACAAATTGAAGAACTCTTACAAGATAAAACTGACTCGAGAATTGTACCATTCGCAGCGACGTACGTGGTCAGTTGATTTCAGTTGTCAAATCCATATTGGATTTGACAATTATCAATAATTTCCATTTACATGGAAGTAGCGCAACTCGGCTCATATATCGGCCAAATGACATGCTTAGACAAATAATAGAGAAAATAACACAAATGAAATGACCAAATATTAATTTAAATTCACAATTGAGTCATTTATTTTGAAATCTTGGTTTTCTAGAAAAGTTTACAAAATATAAATCCTATTCAGAACATTTACTGAATATTCCAAAGGAAAGATGATTACGAAATAAAACAATACATCGAATTGGCAAACATGACAATTTTAATACAAAATTATAGGAGTTTTTTTTTTTAATTTCAGACTCAATATATTCCTCTACATATAATATTTTCTATAAAATATGATTAACAAACATGACAAAGTTCATACAAAATTTTAGGAGTTTTAAAATTTTGGACTAAATATTTTCCTTTGAATATAAAATTTTCTCTAAAATATGATACAATAATACAGTTTTGGTCCGCTGGACGACATCCGCAACATTTTTAATTTTTCGATCAACTTGATATTTAAAAAACTTTTTAAATTTTGTCTAAAATATGACTTCAAAAATCTCTAATCTTTATTTATTTCTTTTTTTGTGAAATCCACATCCTTTTTTGTAACCTTTGATATACCTCATTTCTTTTATCATATAAGATTTATTAAAAAAAGCTTTTTATATATATTTTTTCAAGTGGCCTTTTTATTTTGAAATTTTTAATTTCTTTAAATATATATTTTTAGCAATGGTTTCTAAATACTAACAATTTATGTTACATACAACTATATATTTTTAATATCTTTTTTGTCTAATTTTACTCTATGGCTTTATGAATTATTTTTTAAGATTTTCAAATGGAAATGTTCAAAATGTATACGAGACAATCTTTTTTCTCTTAATTTTAAATACAAACATAAATAATTTTAAATTATGTTAATAACATATATTTTTTAAACTAATAATTCTAATACTAATTAAAGTATTTTCTTAAAAAAAATCAACAACTAAATTTTTTTTAATTCCTTTAAATATTTATTTTTTGGTTCTTTTTTATTTTTTTCATGAGCTGAAATTCATAACTTATTAATATTTTTGATTTTTTCTTCTTATTTTGCTCCACATCCCTTCCACGATTTTCCCAACAAATATTTTGCCAACAACTGCCATTCCCCTTACCCAAGTCCCTTCCATGGATTCATCACTTTAATGGATGATTCCGATATTCATTTACAAAACTATAACAAAAATTGCAATTTTTTACCCTGTGGCCCCCAATTTTTCGACTCACATGTTTCTCTTTATCTCTCTCTCTCCCCCCCACTCTGTTCAATTGTACCCGTTTTGTTTCTCACGTAGGTGGTCGCCCTCCCAAAAATAAATCAAAGGCCAATGCATTGAATATACCATCGTTGATCAAAGTCGATATAAATGATGTTCTGCCTTATAATCAAAGTGTTTTGAGCAATGTCAGTGGTTTGTCAATACCCCAACAGATCAATCAGCACCTGCAACAGCAACAACAGGCCCAACAGCAAGCTCAGCAACAACTACTGCAACAAGTTCAACAACAGGCGCAACAAGCAGCCCAACAAGCGGCCCAGCAAGCCGCCGCAGCTCAGCAGCAGCAACAACAACATGCTCAACAGCAATTGGAACAACAGCAGCAGCAACAATTGGATCAACAACAGCAGCTGTTGCTGGGCAATCAAGTGAAAGTTCGCTACATACCCAATACACAAATCAAATAAAATTCCTTCACCATTCTCCTCTGCAATGTGGCGGCACTCTACGCGGCCACCGACGACGACGAGCAAGTGAATTTCAGCGATAACGTCTTCACACTTAAACAAAATATGTTTTTAACTATATCTCAGCTATTGTAAGGGATGTTTTTTATTTTCAATACTATTGTTTTATATTACCCACAAATAATTATAATATGTAATTCTTATGCATACATAAATGTAAAACAATTTTTATATACATAGTATTTTGAAATTTGTTTTTGTTTTTTTTTTTTCAAATTTAGCTGTTCCCTTTTTGGTTTGAGATATTAAATTGAATTAAATGTAAATGAAATGCATGCAATAAGGAATCGTCCTCCTATTCTTCTTTTGATTTGATATTTTGTAAAAAAACACAAAAAAGTTTTTTTTATTAATTAATCAATCACCATTTTGTTGATTTTAAAACAATGCTAAGTAAAATAATAATAATAATTAAATTAAGAAAAAAACCTACAAATTAATAATGTGAACAATTTAGTGACAAAAAAAGTATAAAATTAAATCAATAATTGTAAGTTTAAAATAAATAGTCTATATAATATAAACAAAAATTTTTAGATGTATAACATATCTTCGAAATTTTTTAAATAAATTTATAACTAATGAGAAAAAAAAACAAATAATAATGATAATTAAAATACAATATAAAAGAAATTATGAAATATGTATGTATAAAAATGTGAAGAGAGGGATGAGGCAACGAAAAGGAAAAATTTTTCCTGTTATTAACATGAATCAGAAAAAAATTATAGGAATATCATTTTGGCTTTGACAACAAATTGCAGAAGGACACGAGATAGACCCATGGTTCTATTTGATAATATGAATATATGCGACAAAGCATAGGTCGCATTTATGATCCGAATTGAATGAAATTTGACACAGGTCACTTATTTGGCCCAAAGACGATATAGCTCCCATATATATATATATATATAGGTTTGCCCGATTCCACAACTGCGTCTGATAGCAGGAATCAGGCTAGTATTTGTGTATTAGTATATTAAAACTACTTGTTCTTTATACAGTTCGACTATGCATTTGCCGTGTTATTGCCACCACGTTGCTGTCCTCCTTCTTCGGATTTAAGATCCTCTAGTTGAGGCCCTTCCTTTTTGGAGTTTGAATGTTGGTACATCGTCTTTTTATGGGTATATGTTTGTAACATGCAAAAGGAAACGAGATAGACCCAGGGTTCCTTTTGAGAAAATGAGTCGATTTATGCATGTTCGCCCGTCTATGCGGAATTGTAAACAACGTACATGTCGCATTTATCATCCGAATTGGATGAAACTTGGCACAGCTCATTTCCCCCCCCCCCCCCCCAAGGACAAACCCTATTGAAATTAGGAAAATCGGTTCAGATTAACAAATAGGTTGGATGGTTAGAGATGGGTTTTCTAGCCATGACAAATTTTTGACAAAGTGTAAGGTCTGATTGGGGTCTATTTTGGAGAAGAACGCTAGAGTATCAATTTCATATCTTCCAAATTGTTTATGTCTTCTGCTAATCAGCGATGGACATTTACAGAGGATATGTTCAATTGTTTCTAGTTTTTCTTCGTTCTCACATAGACGACAGTAATCCTCTCCGCTGGAGTCCCATTTCGAAGTGAGGGATTTTGATCACTCTCTCTTATTACAACAGCGAAGAAGTTCTTCGGCGAGAGAATTCAGGCCAGATAGTTATTGAGATTCTGCAACCAGTTTCTCTCGACCATCTGTTAACGACTACCTCGCCGTAGAATACGTCGGAAGATTGGCCGACTGTGAGCCCCCTCTAGCAAGCTCGTCACATATCTCATTCCCTTCTATGCTGCTATGTCCTGGAACCCAACATTAATTAACAATCCGTCGTATATCATGCAGAGCGGACGTGCTATCAAGAACTGCTTTTGAGTTTATAGTGCACGACTTCAAAGCCTTAAGGGCCGCCTGACTATCGACCCTCGTCCCGAATTATCGGCAATAAGTGTTTTGACTATCTCGGCCGCTTTCGTGATTGCAAAGTTTTCTGATAATTTTCTACAGTAAACGCCTGCACCAGTGCCTTCGTCCATCTTTAACCCGTCTGTGAAAAATGACAGACCTGGCAGATGTAAGGAGCCTAATGCGAGTATTTCTCCTCAAGAAATCACAACCTGGCGTTATGTTGAGGATACTAGAGTGACCATAGTTCAGCGATTTCCACGCATCCGTTTCTCGGAACCTCAGGCCACATCTAGCTGCCTGGAATTTAATCAGAATGTCCAGTGGTTGGAGATACAAGATGTCATTCAAGGCTGCCTGCGGTGTGCTTCTTAGCGCTCCGGTAGTCAGAATCGAGGCCGATCGCTGTACTGAATTTAATTTTGACAGCAGTATATTTTTGTTGGCCCCCTGCCACCATACAAGGCAACCATACGAAAGAATGGGGAGAACGACCGTCACATACAGCCAGTGTATGTTCTCTGGTCTTAGTCCCCAGCTCCTTCCTTTGGAGTTCTTGCAAGAGTAGAGTGTTGTCAGTCCTTTCTTAGAGCGTTCCTCTACATTCCTATTCCACGCTAATTTGCGGTCAAGGATTGTACCAAGGTATTTTGCTTCTTCAGAAAGTGTTAGGGTCACTCCTCCCAAAGATGGCAAGCGAAAACTAGGAATCTTACGTTTCCTAGTGAAAAACACCAATTCTGTCTTAGTGGGGTTTACACCTTGGCTTGTGCCCAGTTTGACAGAGTTGAATATTTGATATGATCATTAGAAATTTCCCACCAACCAGATAGACTACATCATCGGCTATAACCTTTATTTTAAGATGATCGAATTTCAGCAGTATCTCATTTATCACTAGAAGACACAGAAGGGGAGATAATACTCCCCCTACGGTGTGCCTCTTTTGACAGATTTCCTCACGGAACTCTCTCCTAAGGATGAGTTGATAATTGTGCTTTTCAACATTCCTTACTGGTCTTGTACCGCATCTCCCGAACATTTTTTTGTATGGCATTAACTAGTCGTGCAGAGCATACCGAACTGCGCTGATAATTTAGGCGTTGAAGATAATCAGCACGAAAAAATCAACTTCTTATTCCGGAGTGGAGGGTAAAAGTTCCTATTCGATTGGTTTGCCAGGCTTCAACTGTACTGTTGTCAGTATATATGTCTATATTTTCAAAGAAATTTCTTTGAAAAATTGTTGTTTTGGTCCAAATAATGGTATGTATCAATCTCTCATTGAAGTTTCCAGTTCGGGATACACGATTTCTGTATCCGTTTTTGGTATATGTATGTAAGAGTTTTGTCCAGAAGCTGGACATAATATATAGTTGTGGATATGTACATACAAAGTAGATTATGTTATGTATAATTATCCCTTTAACTGATTAACTGGTAAGTAATTGACTCGATCTGCTGTTATATCCCACATGTTTGACGAACTATGCCAATTGTTTACAAAATAATGGAACAAAATATGGAAATCGGTAATTCAGGACCACAGAGATTGAGGAATAGATTGAGCGGATTCGACACAATTTATAAAAATAACTATATAGCCTTTCATCTGGATATTATTAATAAAGATATGAAAGAAAACTGCATGGAATTTTCCTATAAGGGAAAAACTTAAAAAATTAGATCTAATTGAATATTGTATTAGGCTTCAGGAAAGGGTTACAATGGATCTTTTTACCAATTACTAAAATCTGTATTTAAATGTTATCTGTACACAGTAGGTTTGACGGTATACATGGAATAACTGTCGATATCTGTTCAATTGTTACGACAGAACTGGTTTTTTTACCGAATTGGCTGAAATTTGGTACTTTCGTTGCATAGCAAATCTCCTTACCAATAATTATCGTTATACACTTCTGAGGATATAATGGTACCCCCAATTTTAGCTATTTTGGGAAGTTTGAACAAGTTCTTCAACGGAATTAGCTTTTATTTGTGATTTTGTGTTCTTATTAAGAACCAAATCTTCCTCCCAAAAATAATATCGGCCCACATTTAGGTATAGTCCTATATTTGATATTTTGGGGATTTTAAGCACGTTTTTCGGTGAATTCAATGTAATTTGATATTTTGGATTCCTGTCGCTACCAAAAATTGATAACAATCGCTCCCTTTCCAGGGGTATTACCCATTTTACCGTCTTTTTACGCCCTACACAACTATGTTGTTAGCGTATCATAGCTTTGTGTGGCCCCACGAGTTTGTAACACTGCAAAATATTGGTTCTAGACCCACCTTTTAGTATACCATATCTCGACTAACTGAGTCGATCTGGTATGTCTGTCCGTTCGTCTGTCCATTATAATTTGTAAACACGTTACTGTTTTATTTAGGATGGAATGGACTAGAGGCCAAAATTATGACTCGAGAAAGGGGTCAGACAATGGAATAAGCATGACTGTTTTGATGAAGATCGTTAAATATTTAGCAGGTCAAATGGGTCCAGTTATTACGTTTTTTACAGGGGTCTAACTATTCTTATGTTGTTTAGTATTTCCATTACCAAACTAGGGGCGGAAATGTAGAGCTGACGGCTAGGAAATTTTGCTCATGTTACGCCTATGCTCAGGGATGACGCCTATAATTTTTCGATGATGATCAGATGATATTTATGAGGTGACTCTGAATATAAATCCGCAGAGATATGGTCTGCCCCGTCCGACTATACTGCTCCGCAAACTGGTTTATATTAAAATAGTTAACTGATTCGTTTCACATGTTCCATCATATAACCATATCCCGCCATAGCACTATAGGTCAAACTGGCGATTTTTGTGGCCAAAAGTCATAAAATTGAAAAATTTAAGTTGTTAATGTATTAACCCTTTGGGGACAAAAATAATTTAATTCATATATTTGACAATATTTTATTTATATATATTCATATTATAGTTGCATAAAGGGTCGTATGCAGTGTTTCGAAAAGAGGGGGGTTGTGTAATATGTTTGGTGTTTGTGAAAAATGGAAAATTTTTCTGTTG